CCCGCAAACAATATTACTAGTATAATCATTTAAAACCTATTTTTTATAAATATCTTTTATTAAAGTTGAATAAAAAATTGCAGAATTTATTGTTTTATGTTTAAATTATATTTCTCTTTAAATTTGTTCTTGAAACAAAATTAAAAAACAATCCTCCGGATTGCAAAATCAGTGATTTTCTTTATTATAGTTTTCTTTAAGAATTTAATTAATTTTGTGCCCTGATAACTTTGATGGAACATACTGTCCATGTACTCTATCGATTTATACAACTTGTTTGTTTATTATCTATTACAGTTGCTAATGCGGATGCATTAACTGAAATCACTCCAAAAAGAAAAACATCAAAGCCATCTGGAAAAACACAAACAAACCAGCAAAAACACGCCCCTCGAGCAATGAACGTTAAAAAAAAACGGCACATCGAATATAAAGTTAAAGAGGGTGGAAAGTTAAGCTACCTTCCTTGCACAGTGGTACAGTTCGGTGTTCGGATGGACGATTTTAAAAATTGAGAAGATGGCGAACATAACGATAAATGTGTACAAACTTTGAAATGGAGACAATTTAATTTTTAACTTCCGAGCACTGTCTCATGGAAAGTGTAAATATAATATTAACTTAGTACCTACAGTAGTGCAGTATCATGTTTAAGTAATTAACAACAAGAGTAGCGGTACAAAAAATTATTTTGCTTTTGATTTTTAATTTTTCTGATATAGATTTATTTTAGGTGAAAAGAACGATGAATGTGCAAAAAATTTAGAAGAGAAGAGAATCGAATTTTCAAATTTAGGTAACTTTCTCATGGAAAAAGTAAAAAATATATTCTGACTTAATGTTTCACTAATTACCAACAAGAATAATTAGGCTCATCGTTTTTCCCGAAACTGACTAAAATATTTATATGGCCAGTCTTATCAATATTCCCGCAAATGTTTACTAGACGTAATAGTACATACGAATACCTATAGATTGGGTCATGTATCTCGATTTTTTTAAATTTTGCAACCTCATCGTTTTTCCCCAGCTCTTCAATTTTTTTATGTCGTATAGAGTATAAAATAATCAAAAAAGTAAAAATAGGGAATAAATTAAATGCCAATTTAATAGTATAAATAGGAATACCACAGGGGACAGTATTGTGCCCAATTCTATTTTTAATTTATATAAACAGCATCTTTAATATAAAATTGTACGTTATGCTGATAACACTGTCCTTTTTGTGTCCTTCACAATCAATTCTGGAGTACCTCAGGGCACCGCTTAAGGCTCTTTAAACAAAATATTGATTCTAAACAAATTTTAAGTAACAATTATTCTACATTTTTATAAATAAGAACATTTTACTCATCAATCAAATTCATATTTTTTTACCTGCCTACATATTTTTTTTTTAATTTATGAAGTTCATATTCGGTATTATGTCATTCACTAACTTTTATCAGGAATACAATTTTCTAAAAAATATTCCAATTATACCAAAATCAATGAAAATAATGTCCATACTTATTACGAATTTGAACCATTTGATGAACCGAACAGACGTCAGAACGTATAAAGAGAACAACTACAGCATCTTGAAGACACATCCGCCCCCACCCTGCCCTCAAGACCGTAAAAAATGGATTAAAAATTCAAATATTTCGAGAATATTTCGGCGACAATATTTGCTCAGCTGCTACATTATGTGGCCGCTTTCATATTCTCTGGATATTATAATTTTTCACCGGGATCCGCTCGACTGCGCCACTTACTGCTGTCAAAAGCTATGGAGCGTTACCGAGCCATGTGCGTCTGAAGAATATTTTCTATTATCTGTCGATCCGCGGAGAAACACTATGAAAACCTTTTAAAGAAAGACGGGTCGATTTTTTTTTTTCATTTTTTTTTTCATTTTTTTTTTCGCTGTACAAGTTCATTTTAGAATACAAAATAATTTTACCAGTGCACAGTTAGATATTGAAATAGTAAATTTATTTAATTTAATTTAAAAATAATATTTTTGCACATTTCAGAAGATTCTAAAGATTAGTCTGTTATTAAAACATGTATATGGATTTCAAAAAAGCTAATTTTCCAATAATCAAGGAATTGACCAGAGGAAAGTGAATTTATATTAAATATTGCATATTTACAAGGGTGCGGTGTGGTCAAAAAAGTGAGGATGTCCATGTGTCTTTTTTTTTAATTCAGTGAGGGGGCTGAATGCTGTAGTAAGAATATAAATAACTAAAATGTCACAAACCGGGAGACAAAATTAGAAAAATACATGTCTCAACATCTAAATGATTGTTTTATGGTCGACATCTTAAAAGTACAAATGATTATCCTTAGCACTTACACTTTCGTCTGTAAAAATACAAAGCAATAACTCGAACAGCATTACGTAAAAATAATAACGAACGATTTATTACACGAAATTCAACCCTCTGAATTGACGTAGCATCGAAGTCACGTTCACACGTGTTGAGTTGTTAAGAAAAGTTGAACAGCGTTTTTATTTCCTCGAGTGTTTTATGAAAGGATCTGTCATTTGCAGCAGGACACTAAGTAATGCCATTTTTTAAAAATAATCTTACTGCTCCCATAAACTATATAAATTTTAAAAGCAACCAGGATATCTCGTAAGTTCAGTTTAAAGTTATACGCTCTATTTTTCATCTGATTTTCATGAAATTTTTTTCAGTTATTAATCAATATTTATTGCTTGGGACAGAAACAATCTTTTTTTAAATTTTCTTTTTTTATTATAAAGTAAATTTTTGGAAATTTTTAATGTTTCTGTCCCAATGTATAATAAATTTATATTTTAAAAAAGTAAATACTTTTTAAATGGGATTAATATTGCGCTTTTTAATTAAAATTGGCCGCCAGGTGTTGTTACCACTCTGCTATAACGGGCGAGGCTCGTTTTGGCAACGCTGCACCGAGCGATATCGACAAGCAATATTTCGCTCTGCGTGATTTGGTGTATTACTTTCAGTCGTAGAATTTTTTATATTTTTGAAATACTAGTAACATAATATTTTCTATTTCATTAATATTTTAAATTAACCCTTTCGGTTATGGTGTCCTAAATTTAGTACAAAATTTAACATGCCTCATATTCTACCTATTGGAGATTTTTATCCGTCTGTTCACGTTGTACTAAATTTAGAACACTTATATTTAGTACCTAAAAAGGTCTGCTTCTACCAGTTGCCAGAATAAATTTCACAATGACTAAAGTTTCCAGCTAGTTGGTGTGTGACGGCACAAGCTGGCAACGCTGGAAAGATCATTCAGTGTTTCCTGTTTAGACTTGATTAGGCGCTTCTAAAATTTTATTAGCATTTAGCAGTACCGTTTTGCTACTACAACGTGATACATCTCCAGTTTTTTATTTTTGTTTACGAGCTATTGATCCGTAAAGAACTGTACTAAATTTAGGACATTGTGATTCAAGAGGTAACATAAAAGTGATAAATTTGGATCATCGTAATCAAAGGAACTATACTCTGTTTTTAAACTAGGAGGAGCGAATTGAAAAGACGCATTTACACAGGGAAAAGTAACTAGATTTGTTACTAAGAGCGAGTTTCGAAATATAGTCGTGTTCAAAATTTATGAAATAATTATCTTTATCGGCCTTAGTCGGTGAACGGCCAATGAGCGGTTAAGAAACGAATAAATGTCATAGAAGTAATTTTTGAATTGGTCCCAGACAACGGTCGCAAATTTCACATTATTGTGATCTGAAATGTGTGTCTAAAACGAAATGTCACTGTCAAATTAAAGTCAATATGGTTGTTGATTGATGTCAGAAATACTTTTTTCTTGCTTTTGAAATCGACTTTTTGAGAATAACTATGATCTTTTTAAAATGGATATTAAATATTTAAGAAAATTGTTAATGGAATATCCAGATGTAGCCAGGTTAGTATAAAATATAAAGGTCTGTTTACATTTTTAAGGATATATTTGTTATAGGTATAAAAAGTAAAAGTTAATCAGTGAATGACAAGTGGATCACACAGTAACTGGTATCTCTTGTATGATTAATGTGGATATTATGGCTTATTTAGTGTTAATGCGCTAGAGGGCAAATAAAGGCATTCAAAAGTTTACAGGCCTATAAGTCAGAATTTGTTTTGAAAACTGGAACCAACATTTTCATAACACTACATGTCAACATAAATTTTTTAAAGTGAACTATTCATACATACCTATGTATTAATTTTAAGTATTTTTAAAATATTTTTTGTGAAAGTAATGTTAACTCATTGTGCCAAATTAAGACTATCCCTAAAGTAGTAGATGGTGTTTTAAATGTTATATCAATTTTGTAAATAGTTTTATTCTATTCTAATAAATAAAATTTGCTTGAATATTTAGTTACATTTTAATCATTTTGGTTAGAAATTCATCAATTTTTAATTTTAAAAAATCAGTAATAAAATTATTTTTTTTTAAAATACTTCGGAATTCATCTCTTAATGGTAATCTCCCATCTTTTTACCTTCAAAAACCTATAATGCATTTTCTACAAAACCTTCAGAATCAGCATGTAAAATAATAAGGCGTCTTCCCTTTCTTGTAAGGCTTTTCAGGAATTGCTACCTTTAATAGTACTCAGTGTAGAAGGATCCATAATTGTAGATTTTCAATACAATTGCTTACTGAAGAACTATTATTTACGAAATAAAGTAAAAAACTAAGTAATGGATGAGATATCAAACTATAAAATGTCAGAAATGTCAACAATATCAATTGTTAGCTGATGTTCATGCTAAAAAGTAATGTGTGAAACTGACTGTAATCTGACCAATTAGAAGGCTACATAATTGCCAACTTAAATTCAAATCGCTCCTCTTAGTTTAAAAACAGAGTATAGTAAGTAAAATAATGATTTTAATTGATATTTGTGATACAGTGAAGTTGTTTCCAGGAAAGTAAAAATAATTAGTCAGAAAAGACCGCTAACAGAAGAAGAACTCTTTCAGTTCATAGAAAAAGGAATGTCGGACATTGAATGCTTCAGCGACGATGATGACGATGACGATGGATGGGAAAGCGACCAAGGTATGACTATAAATAAAATGTTTTAGGTTGTTTGAAAGTTTATTTTTATTTATTTTAGAAATAGAAAGTGATAGCGACTTGCCTAATGCAGAAAAAGAGGTAGATGAAAGTCAAGAAGGAATTACAACTAATGAAGAAGTACAGAAAGTAGATATTCCGAATAAAATTACCCCGCAGCCTGGGACCAGCCGTGAACAGACACTTACAAAGAAGGAACAAGTTCGTGTTTTTTTAAAAAATTCTCAACTCACTGAAAAATCGGAGATTACTTGGAAAACATTGAAAAATATGAAACTCCATCAACAGTACGTTGGTTTACAGAAAAAATCGACAATGTAACGGATTTGGAAAGTCCTGCCTATTTTTTCAGTAAATACTTTACGGAACAGTTATTCGAATTATTGGTTGAAAAAACCAACCTGTGGGCTGTGCAATAAGCTAACAGATTTACTCCCACAAATGTAGAGGAGCTCAAAGCATTTGTTGGCATCCATATTCTTATGGGAAATCTTCATTATCCCCGAATACGATGTTACTGGCATCCTGTGCTCCATATTCTGAATATATCACAAACAATGCCAGTAAATAGATTTTTTTTTCTACGGCAAAAGCTGCATTTTATTGATGTCACTACAGATAATAATCCAGCCGATAGGTTTTGGAAAGTTCGCCCATTATATGACACTCTTAGAGCAAGATGTTTATCGCTCCCTCTAGAAACTTGTCTCAGCATAGATGAGCAGATGGTACCATTCAAAGGTAAACTAAACGTGAAGCAGTATGTGCCGAAAAAACTTAAACCGTGGGGTATAAAAATATTATTTTTTTTTTGTTCGTATGCCCTTTCCTGGACTCATGTCCTTAATATTCAAAGGACACTTTATTTCTAAAATGGCGTTGTCATCCACCAATCCATCTGGACTAGCACCCAAAAAACTATATTCTTTATCAATGAATAGCCCACATTTTTTTACTTTGTGTTTGGAGATTGCCTCAAAATCTTCGACTGCAAACGGCTCGTTTAATTTTCCATATTGTGTATGTATTGGGCTCATTTCATGCTATTGCCTTATGGAGTATATCATAATATTCTGCTCCCTTGTTGAATGATATTACCGCAGCTTCACATCTGGTCTAATAGGAATTCCTTTTCGAAAAGTTGATTCTTTTTCGTCCAACGAATTTGCAAACTATTGAATTATAATGTTCAGCAAGATTATTATTTATATTGTGAATCAAACTTTCGATATTCAAAATAAGTCGATTCAAGCAAACCAGGATGTCTTTGTATAACCCACATTATTTCATAAGTGTAACGAAATTGGTGCCTTTTCTGTCACATTTAAAATAATTGATCGCTTCACATTCGGCGTTTTCACCAAACACATGGGAAAGGGCATCTTTTCAACAGTTCTACTTTCTTTTTGAATTCGGTGTTTTCTTCAATTCGATATTTCGTTGCCTTACTGATAGCAAATCTTAAACCTTTTGAATTTTTTTCCACCTCTTTTCTTAGGTAGACTGGTACAGAAGAATTCGTAGAAACACTCCGGGGTTTCTCTAAAAAAATAAAATATTACAATGTCATTAAAGAATTTACTCATGTTAGGTATAAGTCATTAAAGAATTAACTAACTGACTATATCTCTTAATTTCGATGAAAAATTCCTAAGCAGATGGTTTCTACATTCAATTTTCGAAATTGCTGTTTGGGGACCATACGGTTTCGTTTCCATCAGTTTCTTATACACAGAACGGCCACCATCGCCAACCAAGGTGACATATTTTAACCACGTGTATGTATGCTGCTTCGAAATCCTTTAATAATAATGTCTGTTTTCATTGATGTAGACGTACCGGTCCAGTTTTTAAAACATTTATGTTGAGGTATTTCTAACTGTTTCCGGTTGTAAAAATCACAAGTACTGCAGAATTTATTTCTAACTCCCACATATAATAATTTTCCAGTCCGGTAACCTACCATACATCCCTAAAAAGAATAATATTATAAATATCAATTTCTACGTATAAAATTTAGATTTACCACGCCAGAAAAAGCATTATAGTTGACGTTACATGATCGTTTTGACCATGCTCCAGCTGCTACCACAGTTATAAATGGAATTCCATTTCCATCTACTTCTTCTAAGCTTTTAGGCAACTCTGCTTCCTCTCTTCCAGCTTCTTCCATTACTTGATTTTAGTTGTGGAAACGAGTAATAAGTTCTATTTCTTTTAAGATTTTTCGACCACTGCCGTTTATTTCTTTAACAAAATTAAATAAAATCTATCTAGTGATTTGAAAAATTAGTTTGATTAATGAAAACACGAGATTCAGTTATATCACAAAATTGTTCATTATTACTAATTTTAGGTGAAGTACTTTTTTAAAATTATATCAATCATTTTCTTTTCAAATTTGACAACCATTAGGAAGAAATTCTAGCTGTAGTTTTTAATAAATTGTTAATTTTTCTTCATATTTATTGGGTTCCTAAATTGTAAGCAAAGTACTGTTTCTCTAAATTTGACATCTTTTTTGATATTTTAGTAATTTGGATTGTAGATTTCACTTAAAAAATTGGAACAAAACAGAAATTAGGACAAAAGCCCGGTACGGAAAATTTTATGTGAAAATTAGGCAACACATTTGAAGTAAAACTGTTTTAATTTCCAACTCACAAAATTACTTCAACTGCATTCTCATTATCCAACACGTTTCATAACGAAAAATGAAAATTAAAACATACTACTACCCCAGTTGTTATAATTTCGATAAAAATACAGAGCTCAGCACCGACAATTTTTTTTTGTCTATAAATTATTTTAGAATTTTCGTTGTTTGTCGAGATAAAAATTCGCTCCCGCACGACCTTTGCTAATTGTTTCCTGAAAACGGAGGCTCATTGTTTTTAAATTTTCCAACAACTGCTGGAAAATATATATACAATGTATTAAAGTTTTCCGCTCTTCCACTCCACTAACTGAATAATTACTGTTCAGAGCACCCGGTCGGGGTAGACAGAAATGGATTCAGTGAAAATTATTGTCATTTTAAAAAATATAATAAAACTATTGCTTTGGAAAACTCATAGGGAAGATATTAATAAAATTAATATTATTTTTTTTTAAATATAGTACCTACTACAATATATTTCACAAAAAAAATGAACAAACAATTATTTATAAATACAAAAATTGTCAAGTGCGCTGATTCATGAATATGCTCATACATTATAGACATACCTGACAGAATTTGGTATCGACGATATTAGGTAAATCAATCTAGGATCAAATTATTAGTCACAACAGGGATTCGTTTTTTATAATGTAAAAAAGATTTTTAATAATAATAATTGATTAATTTCAATATACCACTTTGTTTTAAATAATGTTTACAATTTTGTGGGAAAAGTCTTTACTGATTGATTTCATCCATATTTAAATTTTTGCTTTAAAATAGCTTAACTTTGATTAAATTGTATTTTAGTTTTTCGGATCTCACTTCACTTTCTTTCATTTTTAATAATTAATTGATTAATTATTTAAAACCTTTCAATTTTCTGATGTCTACTATTTACAGTATTAAGTACTGTTGTTATAAAAATAAAGGTTACGGTAGTAAATGCACATGGATATTAGCTTATCTACGCACAGACTACAAAACCAAAAAGTAGTTATTCCGTTCAACTGAACGAATATATTTCATATCCATTCTACCCAATAAAAACATTGCAAAAAAAATTAAATCGACCAATCACAGTTCATATTTTGGTCATCCGGCTCCTAAGTGACAATTCTGTCAAACTAATTATCAGTATATTTTTTACTAATTGAGAATAAATATACATTAAAATGAGTTATTCTCGTGTAGAATCGATAAATAATAGCCTCGATAATAGCATTTTTATTTTTATTTCGTCCAAATTTACAAACGAAAACTTTATGAAATCAATTTAATTACGAGTGTTATTACTAAATTATTATGTGTGGCGATAAAGCAGAGACTATGTAACCTACCAATAACTTTAGCAATAAAATTTTGTCTGTCTAGTCGCATTAATTTCGGTTTTTTCGGTGTCAACCTTCGGACCTTCGACGTCCCTCAGACGGTAGCGAGGGGGTGGATAGCTATAAACATTTCGGAAATAGTAGACAAATTCATGGGCACCAACTGAGTGCCTACAATGGCCAAACTATGTTCTTATTCCCCCAGAAACCCAGTAAATGAGGAAAGAAATAAAAGACACACCTCAAACTTAGGTTCCTTTATAATAATTCACCCAAATTTACCCCAATGATTACAAGAATGAACAATCTTAAATTATTTTTAAAGAAAGTAACAAACCCAATATGTTTGTCATAAAACAAATTCAAAAAGTCATGTCCGAAAACTAAATCTTAAAAAATCTTAAAGTAATTCATAAATAAAATTTCCAACGACTTATGATGAATTCATAACTAAATAAACTAGATAAAGTAAGAAATTTATTCATATTGAATATGCATGAACCCAAAAAAAGAATGGATAATTCATCAATATATGACACGGTTGGTCTTTAGCATGGTACCAAGCGAAAGACGATTTGCACAAGATGTTAAGTAAAGAGGAAGAATGTTCTTCTTCCATCTGATTTTTTCAGATTGAGGAAAGCGAACTTTGCCTGTTGCTCTACAGAATTCCTTGTATTTCTTATTACTCAAGTGATGTATTTTAATTGTTTGTAAAGGCCTATATCAATAAAATCGTAATTTTTACCTTTTAACAACTTCAAAATATAAAAGAAAACTTATAAATCAACATGTGCAACATGTATTTATAAACAACAACTTCAAATGTTGAAATGCAATATACTATTAACACTCTCCAAATTGGAATTGCTTAACGCAAAGTTAAGACATATTTATTTATAAAGAAAAATAAAAAACCATTAAATATAAATCGTAAACCACAAATAAAAAGAAAATATAATAAACAAACAAAAGGAATTTAGACACAGTGGTAATAAAACTCCCAGATTGGAAGAGGTTATTTACTTAATCTCTGTCCCTTATGGGTCTTATGAGATTGCTTAACTTATCAGTAAAGTCTATAAAGAAGAAATTTAACAATTGAAATGTTGAACGTAGCCCTTAGATCCCGAGGTATTAAAGGTCAATACTAAGATCGAGACACTAAGTTCTTAATCAACTAAATTTTGAAATTATTTATTGTACTT